GTTATGTGTAACAGTCTAAGGTTATTTTATTCCTTATGTATAATTTGGCCTACCAGAAAAACCTAGGGAGATGTACATACATACATGCATAATCACTTCATCAACTGTCATCAATCTTTTCTGACTCGTCAATTAAGGTTACTATTAATACTAGTGAATTTATAGTAACCAATATATAATTTATGACCAATTGTCCATCGTCGGTCACATCATTCCTTACCACAGGCGAGATGGTGGCCAAACGTCAATCTATCCAGTATAAAAAAAGTCTTCTTTTCTAAGGCAACAAGATTAAGTAGCTACAGAGAAAAAATGTCTTGTACCAATCCAAATATAATATTTATATAATTTTGTGATTCGAAATTTACTGGCATTTAGCACTACAGCATTTAACTAAATACTATATAATATCACCGCTACTCCGCTGAGTCAGTAAGAGTCTGACACTCCCTCCTGCCTCACCCAGGCGGGAACAGTCATTCAATGATTTTCCCCCCTTAAAAAGAAAAAAACTCCACCAAACAAAACTTTCAATCGCTACATCGTAGCATTGACCAGACTACGCCGTAGCACTCAATTAATAGCTACGCAAAATGATAAAAATATTTTAGAACTGTTTAATTAGAAAATGTAATTGATTGTCCTTTCCGAATCGTTTCTAACTTCAGTATAAAACTAAGTAAACCTTTCCGGTTTCAATAGTTCTTTTTATCAGTCAATTCTACGGATGAACGCTCACTCAGAATTGTACTTAAAATTTTAATTTAATGGAAAAATGAATCAATGTCGCTACGATGCTGAAGTGCTTTTACCTATTGATTTGGATAGCTGTTTTCAGGTGTTAGTACCGTGGTCTATTATTATTGTTTTATTAGGAGCTAATTTGGATAGATTAAGAATTAAAAGGCAATTGGAAAGACATTGATTACATCATTAGTGATCTTCACCCACCTTGTCCAGCAAAGAAAAGAACCAAAACCATATACATACCACACACAAATTAATGGAAATCGGAATTGTCTGAATTGATTTCTTAAAAGCTTATATTGTTTGTCTATTTTTTCAGGAAATTAATTTATTAATTTTAATTGAACTGTAACAAATAATTTCATTTCAGTATGTAACACAAGTCATCGAAAGATGGGACTTGGCAATGAAAGTATTTTGGGAAAGAAATATCTTGTAAGTTTCTTTCATTATAATGTATAGCCTTAATTACTGAATCCTTCTGTGAGATCTTTAGTGTAGTCTTCTATGAGTCCTTGTCTCAGCATATTCGAAAACGGTGTTGTAATTTTTCCCAGGTATATTTTGTCAAGTCACCATTTTCAAAAGTCGATGATGACGCATGGATATGTGCAGGAGCCATAGTATCACCAACACAAATATTGACGGCAGCTGCCTGCCTTGTTAATGTGGACAAAATATACGCCATAGCTGGCTACAAGAAATATGTACATGGTAATGATATAGAAAATGATGAATGCACTAGAATTTGGAAGAAAAAAGTTGTCAAAGTTTCTGTTCCTAAAGGTAATAAATTAATTTACTTAACAAGTCTTTAAAGCTCCTAGTCATAATAATTTTTGAACCCATAATAAATGTCGATGTTAACATCACACATATCAAATAAACATTTAATTTCTTAGACAAGTAAATAATACAAAATTTGTTTACTTCCAGAATACAATATGGCTACCGACAAACAGCCAGATTGGATGGAAATAGACCTTGGAGTGGCTACAGTAGACGAACCGTATAATTTCACCGAACTATCACATCCAACTAATTGCTCATATGAACCACAGAGTATAATCATCAATTATGATAAGAAAAATGAAGTGGAAAATGTCAGAGCAACAGCTTTAGGATGGGGAGGAATTAAAATAAGACAAGTGAGTTATTTTTTTTTATGTTTCCATGTTTGACCCCTGTATCGCCTGGCAGTAAGCGATGATGCGGCCTACAATTATTGTTGGCAGCTCTATTATAGAGTTCAGATTTATAAAAGAGCATAATCTTAGAAGTGGAAAAAGGTTAGAGAAAAGATAATAGAAACACATGCTACTGAAATAGCACCCACTTTTTTTAAGGGGGGAAAATCATTGAACATAATAATTGCTCCCGCCTGGGTGAGGCGGGAGGGAGTGTCAGACTCTTACTGACTAAAAACCACCCCGTTCCTTCTCCTACACTTCGAGCCGGAGCCCCGATAACCGGTTAGGTTCTCCGCGACAAATAGCACTCACTAGGTATCTAATTTCCAAAATTGGAATTAAGCCCAAGTCACGTAATTAAGTAGTGACCACACAATAAGAATAATGCAACTTAAGAAATAGCCACAAAATAGACGCAGATAAACCCATTGTATTATTTATTTTTTTAGCCCAAGGAATTAGCGAAACTGCAAAAGAAACCTCAAATACTTAAAGAAGCATCAACAATTATAATAGAGAAAAAAGTGTGCTTAGACTTAATAAAAGGCAACGTATCGAAAGAAGTGCTTAATAAATATATTCTGTGTGCTTCTGGCAATGGTATGGTTGTTGATGACGGAGAAGAGACATCAGTGGACACGAGACCATTCGCCCCAGACGAGTGCCCTTACAACTCAACTGAGAGCGGCGTAAGTTTGAATTAAATTCAAAATACCTAATTAAAGTCAAAATAATTTTTCACATGATAATATCATATTATTCTCATGCTGTCCATAGAATATTAGCAACGGTCTTTGATACCGACCTGAGCTTAACAATTTTTTTTTTTTGAGGGGAATATCATCCTGTGTCTTTTCCCACCTTCGGAGTGATGAGAGATAGTGTCAGACTCTTACTGACTAAAAACACCCCGTTCCTACATCTGCTCTTCGAACCGGAACCCGTTACGTTCTCCGCGGCTCCTTATCGGCATCAGCACTATTGGGCCTCATCCGTGGTGGTCTGATAGTTCTTTGAGGCGCGCGCGGAACGCGACGCGCCGCCGTACGCTCGGGTCTCGTTCTGATTTGGCGGCGAGTTACCCGTGCTCGTCGTCCCCAGGCCCGTGCTTACGGTGGCCGGAGATCGTCTCGCAATCTCATTTCCAGAAGCTGACTCCATTTTCAAGTATAGCTGTTTAAGTTACGTTTGAACAAAATTCTTTTCAAAGCTGATGATAGTGTACGTATTTTACTGACCCAGATTTGTTATAATTACAGTGCTTAGATGCAAACTATGAAATGTTGAGAAGGCAACAATCAAAAATCAATGTAACCATAGAGCAACGAGAAATATATAATAACAACAAAACAAATTCAAGAAGGACGCCCTTGATAGAGACTTGTCAGGTAAGATAAAACAAGACCTTTTAGCTATAAAAAAGTGAGAAGATTGGCATGTGCCAATCTTCTCACTTTTTTGATATATCGCTTCCATCAGATACTAACCCTATGAAAGTTTAATGAAAAGTAATATGAAATCAATGATGAAAATACCACAAGTAACCTTTGCAACTTCTAATTTGGACAATCAAATACACAACTGCAGTGCAATGTATCCGTTGCAACCACTAATATATAGTTTCATTCATTTAAACGAGGCATTTAATAAAAATGATTCTTATTCAAATTTTCAGAATGATCATGGAGGTCCCCTCACCACATGGATAGGCACAGAGGAGATGGTTCTAGGCGTAGCTCTGGATGGCATCTCCAATCCAAACTTCGATTGTGTTGGTCCTAGAATTTATGTTAGTACAGCAGAAACCGCTAAAATAATCAAATGTCTTTTAGAAACGAACGAAACACAGTAAGTTTTTAATGTATAGTGTAATCTAAGAGTTTACATTATTATATACCGGTCAAATCTCGTATAGGAATATTCAGAAAAAACGCCCTAAAATGTAGCTTCAATTTACTTCGCTCTTTTGATATTTTGTTAATTTTATAGATAAAGTTTTTTACTAATTTCATGTCTTGCAGGCGAAAAATCTGTAACAATGACAACAAAGAACACCAAGTTCACGACATAGAAATAAAATGGCCTAAAGACATGTCAAAAAATTCAAGTAAAGGTGATCACAAAATATCACCTTTTTTAAGACAAGGTAATGAGGAACAACCTCTGCATGTGCGGCCAACCAAAGACCCAGGAAACGTTGAAGAGCATGGCAACCCACTACGATCACCTCAGTTAGAAATTCCAGTTGACCAATTTTATAATTCACCACCTCTACAAACAAGTACAATAAATCCATATTACCAACTACAAAACCAACAACCAGTTGTGCCTGAAGCAAATGCACAACAATACGGAGAACAATCGCAAGGCCAGATGCAACAATCAATGGATTTAAATCAACAACAATCCAGTTCATTAAGTCA